ATGAATAGTGAATAGTTAAATGTAAATCTTATTGCACCAATGTGTTTATAAGAATGTAAACATTTTTTTATTCTATAATATTATTGTAAAATTAATAGTTCGTCTTATTAGACCAGTTTTAATAAATAAATATAATTTTAAAAAAATGTAAGCTTTTGGTTGAAATGAAAAACCTAGTGCCACGAGCAGGATTCGAACCCACGACCTTCGGCTAAATTCGTCACTGCTGTACACACTTGAGCTATCATGACTTCGATCCACGCACGCCAATTAATTTATCTCACTTGTTTTGTTCTGACCCAGGACTGCCAACACCCGGAATGGATGATTCTTGAGAAATTTCAAATCCCGCTGGTGGTACTAGGGTTTTTCATTTCACCCAAAACCTTACATAAAAAAGGTTAATTAATTGAAAGAAGTAATTTGGTCAATAGTCCACTAAATATAATGAATTCTTTACAACTTTTGTTAAATGGATTACTGATTTATATAAGCTTAAGTCTGCAGAGCATGCAAAAAAATTATCGGTAGGCCTCAAGAATTAACCATTCCGGGTGTTGGCACTCCTGGGTCAGACCAAAACATATTATAATGCATTTTTTGAAAGCTCAATGAGAGAACTGAGTGAATGAAATGAGCTCATCACTGATTTGTAATGTAATGTTTTCAAGGTACATAAAAATTACTATATTTAAACATTGACGTGTAAAAACATAGTCCAAAGATTAATAAATATTTACTTTATTTTAAAATTTATATTAAATATTCAATTGATTAAATTTTCAATAGGAGGGTGTTAGTTGGAATATCACGTTTTCATATCATAATTCTTAATTAATGATGATTAATAAAATATAAATACAATATTGAAATTTTAATTTTCCTCCCTCCTTTCTCCAGGTTACAATTACACTTGTAAATTTAAAAAAAAATATTAAAAAATGAAAATACCCTATTATTTCTCATTATTGAAACAGGCTGCAGAGTAAATTTTCAGAATAAAAATTTATATAGCTGTTAACTATTATGGCTTTGCTGGTCTGTGTTATACGAATATGTTTTGAAAAGTTGTAAATTTATGATTTGTCACGAGAATAAACCACGGCCGTATACTTTGTACCTACAAACCTGAGTCACACTAAATAGTCAAACCATAAAGCGCAAATGGTTAAGCTGTAAATGTGTCTTGAATTGTTTATAGTCTGTATTTGTTTATAGGAGGGCCGCATCCCACTCATTTTGTCCAGGCAAATATATAATTATCTTGTTCGGAGCCGTGGCCAACTGGATTTTTCCACAATTTACAACCAGAGAAACGAACGAGCGGAAGCTCCCAAGAAACGCAATAAAATTGTACGATGTTGTACGTGAAATGTGATTAATGAAATGAGAAAGTTTGTTTTATCGAATTCCAATAAGTATTTCATTATTCTTGTAAGATTTATTCTCTGGAATAAAGCCAAATTTAAATTTTTAATCAATTTCAGTTTTTGAAAAATGGTTTAGAAAATGTTTAATTTGATCTGTAAAAGTGTTAAATTTAATTTGTAGAAAGAACTAAAAATTAATATTTATTTAGAAATCGTGAGATGCGGTCTGGTGTGATGTAGGTTTCAGAAAAACATTTTCTTTATCGTGCCAACGTTTCGATCTTTATTGAGATCATCTTCAGGTCCTGGGATTTACAAACATTGTTTACATACAACAATTACATTTTGGATGAGGAAAAGTGAATTTATACAATGCAAAATATATTTTTTATACTCAATCCATGTATTTCTATTCACTCAAAGTATTTGTCTTCTGTGTAATTGTGCCATTCTTGCGTGACGTGTCGAGAGTGCCCGAAACGTTGGCACGATAAAGAAAATGTTTTTCAGAAACCTACATCACACCAGAACGCATCTCACGATTTCTAAATAAATATCGATTAACGGTCACTAATCACCACACACTAAAAATTAAATTGAACGACCATTGAAATAACGTTTTAGACAGTGGGCGTCGGTGGCCGCAACAGTTTAGTCGTTGACGCAAAGGTCCCGGGTTCGAATCCGAATGGGTTTTTTTTCAAAAACACCCTGAGGATTTATGTGACCTCTGCTGTTGCGAACCCTCGTAAAAATAAGTTAAAGATAAATAGAACATATATATATATTTGTAAAATAAATACCTAGACTTCAAATGCAGTCAGAAAAAAGGGGCAGCGTCGGTTGGCCAGATCCACAGTGCAGCTCGGAGGATTTGACTGGTAGAAGAAGGGTAATCCACACCCGACTACGAAGAGGCCATACGAGGTTGGCACAGGAACTTACTTTTGGGCCAAACCCCGCGTATGTGTCTGCATGAAGGACAAGATTGCTCCATGTGTCCTACCTAGTTTAAGGTTGCAATTTCTTACTCAATATAGAAAGCGTGTAGGAAGCTACCCAATATGAGAATTGTGCTTGAGCACGGCAGCGCGTATCTGGGTCTCATGTTCTGATTTTTGGGGAAAAAAAACATGGCTGTTTTGTTGGAGATATCTCGTTATATGTTCCATTTTTTGCATTTTGATTTTGAATAGTGATGAGAAAAGGCCGATGGCGGAATATTGAGTACCCTATCGAACCTCAATTGAATTAGTTTTATGATAGTGTGGAGGATGATGGAGGAATATCAAGTACTCCGCCACCCTAATTGAATGAATGGTATGTATAGTGAACAGGAAATTTTGCATGAAAGTGTGAGTAGATTTCGTTTGTGGCCAAAGTTGATAGCAGCTGGAATTGCTAACCCGAAATTCTCTAGGCTAGCCGGTAATTTATTGTAAATTATACGAAAGAAACTAGAATTTCCTACTGGCCGGGAGAAGTGATAGGTTCAAATTTGTGCATGTATATGTACATGAATGTCCGAATTTGAGGTTATATAAATCAATATGTCCTTTAATTTAGCCAATGATGCCATATTCTCTAGTTTTTGCCCGTCACATACTATTCTGCCTCAAGAAGTACCCATTACTAAGTTTCATGTATAATTTCGGTACAAAAATGTTGTACCGTATTAAACTTTTTAAAGGGTAAAGTTTTCAACAACGCGTTAAAAAATAGCTCCGTTTTCCAAGAAACTGTCGCCAAATCGAAAACTTGAAAATCCACACTCTGGATCTAACAAAATCATTTCATCAATTTTGTGATTTTGTTTGGTTTTACATTAATGACCTGATAATATTCTCAAGGGATTGGGAAAGTCATATTGCGCATTTAGAAATTGTGTTTGATCGTTTAAGTAAAAACGGGCTCACAGTAAATCCAGAAAAAATCCAAGTTGCAACTGAACGATTGAATTTTATGGGGCATATAATTTCATAAAACAGAATTCGTATAAACCCAGAAATTATTCTGGGTTGTAATTAATATCTACCGTCATCTCAAAGACAACAAGGGTGTGATAATCGGATCCCGGAGGATAATTCCCCTCAGAACGGTTCTTCTGGTTTAAGGCCAACGTTTATAATTCCGAGGCGCTACAGCATCACAATAAGCCACCAGGTTTTTGAAACAGACGCCGCCTCATCAAAGCCCGAACCAAAACAGGGATTATTCAATGTTATGGTGTGTTTGGTATCAGAGAGGGCTCAGCGGTGACCGAAGGGCCCTTTTCTTAGAAAGGATTAACATAAACATGAGCCGGCGAGATTCTATGCCGCAGGAACTATCATCTCAACGATCTCGTAAGACAAATTTTTTATTTGATATCCATTAATCCAAGATTTACCAATTAGCCTAGGGTGATGGAGTCGAAGTGATTTTACGCTTGATTGTTAACAAAACTCTAATCCTATTAGTGCCGTACTTTAACGATGGAAGCAGTTTAGTTCTACAAAGTTTAGACTAATTAATCTTTATGTAAGGTATTGGTTGAAACAATAAAGCCAATGTCACGAGCGGGATTCGAACCCACGACCTTCAACTAGATACACCGCTGCTATACAACTTGAACTATCGAGTTCGTACTCGGACACCAACTTCCCATCTCAACTTACCTTTCAAATTTTCTCTCCTTAAAGATTAATTAATTGAAAGGAGTTATTTGGACAATCGGTTCACGAAATATAATGGATTTCATACGTAAAACGAAGTATATCTTCACTATATGGCCATTTCATTTGCCGCCGGGAATCGAATCCTGATTACTCGACATTTGAAAAATGGTAAAAAGGAGGGAAAATTCGAAAAGGTTGTAGGTTGTGGTGGGGAGTTGGTGTCCGAGTGGACCGAAGTCACGATGACTCAAGCGGTTAGAGCAGCGGCGTATTGAGCCGTCGTGGGTTCGAATCCCGCTCGTGACACTGGCTTTTTTATTTCAACCAATACATTAACTGAAAGAAGTTATCTGATCAATCGCACCACGAAATATAATAGAAAATAATCTGAGACTCTTTGTAATAAAATACTATGAATAATAACGTGTTATATATTATACTCATTACTACTACTACTATTCGAATACAAACCGATTCATCAAATAATTTTTAAAAAAATTGAACCCTGTAACAAAATTCTGATGTGAATCCAATACAAAATTTTCAATATGGACGCCAAACCCATTATAATTGGCAGAAGAGGGAAAAATCGATTGGCACCTAATTATTTTTCAAGACGTTTTCTTGTTCTGCTCATGGGCGGCCAAGGCAATTATCAATCCATAACTAAACACATTGATTAATTAACTGGGACGAGGATGTGTTTACTCGCATATTAAGAAAGCCGGACCACCCTGGCCAGTGCCCCAAGCAACATTTCATTCATTTATCAAATAGCCGAGGAGCAAAGGAAAATGAAGCCATTAAAATGATTGCCTCATACCAACCACCGAAGCTTTAATTAAACACGTTATAATAAATATTATCAGAAATTTACATAACACTTATGTGTTAAGCTCCAACGGTAAATAGACGCCTCCTCCCTCCGGGTGGTTATCGGAGATTTTTGTCCAATTTAAATAACACATGTTAATTCTATTTTGTAACAGTTTTTAGATTCTTCTGTTCTTTGTTGTGTTAGTTCGGCAAAATATGGATTTTAACAACCGAGACGCAAACCAGGTAGCAAAGTTCGATTCAGGATGGCAAGCTCTGTGAGTCAAATAGTGTTTTTTAGTCAGACATGGCTTTGTACATACTTCGTACATTTACACCGAAATCACTTTGAATGGTTTTATAAATAACATCTTTAATCTGCTCAAATTATCAGTGATTAATACTACCTAAGATCTCGACGTTAAAATTTGACTTCATGAGCTCGTTTCAAAGTCATGTAATAATAATAAAATAATAATATATAATAACAACAAATTCTATTGGAATAAACACAAATATTGGATTAACTTTTCATTTTTAAGTAGTTTGTTGCATTTTTGGATGAGAATTTGTTTATTTTAAAGCGTGAATTCGCCAGAGTTGATAACGAAAGAAGAATGCGTGGCTACAGACGTGTCGATGAGTGACTTCAATTTTGAAACGGTCATCAAATGGTTTAAGGTCTGCATCAGACTTGGGGACAAGATCCCTGACAAGGAAAGAGACTTGTACACCCTCAACCTCATGGAGAACATGAAGAAATCAACAGAGGAGTTTTTCTCGTCGTCCCAACTGGATTACAGCACTTTGGGCAAGATCGAAAACACATTTTCCGACATGTTCGACGAGCTAGTTTACCCTTCTGACCTTTGGAGAAAGGTATGTGGAAAAGCCACACTTGAAATTTAACAAGCTTTTTTTCTTAAATATTTGACGCTTGTTTTTGCAAAGATTTAATAATTCTTCAGTTCAAGTTTAATTCGAGTGAGAAATGCAGCGGATCTGACGACGAGAGAGATATATGGAATCTCCAAATAGTCGCACTCATTTCGATAATTCTACTATTGTTAATAATATTTATTTGCGTTTGCGTCTGGTGCATGAAGCTGTGTAAAATAAAGAAAGTGTAAGTGGTTCCAATTGTTGCAATAAAATCATAAATTGTTCAAATTTCAATCTGTTTTAGGTGTGAGAAAGACTGCACCTACGACAGAGGCAGGTACTGCTGCATCGACGAGAACAACTGCCCCGAATGTTGTGAATACATGAAGAAATCAGGACTTAAATTTGAGAAAACGCGGTCAGAATTAGGCCAAAATGCTGGTATTTATAAATTCTTTATATCATATTATAATTTTGTTTAAATTAATTTATTACCTATACATGATAGTATACTATACAAATATGTATTTATGTATCACACAGCACAACACTAACACTAATGCCAGCACTGTACCGGTAGAACACACGCTTTGAAAAGTCATCCGTTGCGACTGAGTCTGTATGATTAGGGGTCAAGGAGGTCTCGAGGCCATCATTTGGTTGAGGGGACGTGGTAGGTTGTCAGGATGGGAATGAGTGTAGAGGGCTAGAGCAGTATGGTTAGGATGGTTCGAAAGGTTGGTGTGGAAGGTTTGGAATCTAGACCGGTTTAGTTCGTTGACAAAGGAACCTTGAGGTCTTTGTGGACAGTGAGGTTAGTGACATAGTAACTACTAGTAAGACTTTCGATTGGAAGGTTGCTGGATGAGCTGGATGTTGGAATTGGGTATTGCCAAGTACCCCACAGTTCTACTCCGTATGTCCATATTGGTCTTAGTAAAGTTTTTTATAGTGCTAGCTTTGTCTTCACTCTCAATGTCGATTTTGGTCTTAGACATCTTCGTAGTCGTCCAAGTCTTGTATTAAGTTGTCGTTTTTTAAGTCTTGTATGGGGATTCCACGTCAATCTACTGTCGATAAATAGTCCCAGGAATTTGACTTGAGTGGAAACTGCTATCTCTTTGTGGTTGATGTACTATAAATATATATATATATATTATACTTATAAGTTCACACCTAATGTTTTCTTTTTCGTTAAAAGATTCCCATTCAATGTATGTTTTGCTAAAGATTTGTCAAGCTTTCAATCATGTTAATTCGACTTTGTATCATTCAGATAATAGATATGTATTCAAATACTTTGGATATATTAATAGAGTAAATTCTTTAATAAAAAAAAGATTCTTTAATGTTAAGACAATTATCCCTATATATTTTTATGAGATGTTTTCTCATCAATTTTAATCAATGGTTTTAATTTAGTAGAGATAGATGGTTGTAGATAAAGATTTCGAATTTAATCCACCAACCAAAAAAAATTCAAATAATCCAAAACAGGTTTTCACTGCTATGCATGACATCCCTGTATCAACCAATAAAATATTTCATCTACATTCTGGGGTTTAACACTAACGATTGTCAAAAGGTTTTTGCTTTATTAATCTAATTATTTTTTAGTGGTCAATTGACCAAGTTACGTCTTTCAATTAATTATGCTTTTTATGTTAAGTTTGTGTTGAGATAAAAAAGTCATTGTCACGAGCGGGATTCGAACCCACGACCTTCGGCTAAATACGACGCTGCTCTACAACTTGACCTATCGTGACTTCGATCCACTCGGACGATAATTCGAATCCTCCTCGTGACACTGACTTTTTTATCTCAACCAAAACCTTACATAAAAAGAATAATTAATTAAAGGAAGTAACTCGGTCAATTGACCATTAAAACATTAATGGATTAATATTTAATAAATAAAAGAAGAATAACTTCACTACCAGCTCCCTGTGGGCACTTCATAAGTCGCCGAGAATCGAATGCTGATTACACGACATTTGAAAATGGCAAAAACTGGGAAAATTCGAATTCGGGTGGTTGAGATGGAGAGTTGGTGTCCGAGAGGATCGAAGTCACCACAGCTCAAGTGGTTAGAGCAGAGGAGTATTTAGCAGAAGGTCGTGGGTTCGAATCCTGCTCATGACACTGACTTTTTTATCTCAACCAAAACCGTACATGAAAAGAATAAGTTTTTGCTTTATGTTTAAATAGCATCAAAGCCATAATAAAAGGCAACAGGTAAAAACCAGCACTAGTAAACTAAAGTCAAGCAACAAACTCTTTGGTACATCGTTAATAGAGGTCTTAGGCCCTAAGCCCGTCTTTATAGTAAATTTAACTGGAGGAGTTTTAAAATTGATTTTCCCGTTGTTATTAAAATACTATTATGGAAAATAATTAACCACATCAACAGTACAACAAAATTTTAGGAGTGAAAAAAGAATTGCCCTGGGGTAACTTGTGCTACAAACATTTTATTATACATATGCTTGTAAAATGTTGTTAAACCAATGGTTTATTAAGATTCATGGGAAAAAATTTCAGGTAATGTATTCTTTTTCATTAATTCAGAAAATGGATAAAAAGCATAACCTAGCAGTTTTTAAGAGCCAGGAATACCACTGATATTGAGTCTTTTTATTGTTTATTTTTATCAAAACAAACATATACATATCAAGCAGTTTCTTTTATTTTTTAGGTCAAAAAAGTAGATAACATTTTGTTTACTACAACGATAACTCATCACAGAAGGATTGCTAATGAAATAATAATGATTAATTACACAGCCACGCACCATCAGATTTGTTCCTTTAACCACGTTCAAAAACAATAATTTGTTCTTTCATGAGGTCATATTTTGTTAAAACACGGAGTTCCTATTGATACTTTTGAAGGAAAAACCAGTTAATAATTTTAATTTAATAGGGACATTAAATATCAATCAATTTTGAATTGCCAATTTTGGTTGCAATCTAAGTACCACTTTACATGAATTGGGGTTGCTCGGAACGTACTAAATCAGTTAATATTCCAGAGAGTTAATGCATTAAAATTAATTTCACATAATTGTTAGTCTTCCACTATGTTGGTAAAAAACTAAAATAAATTTAATTCGACTGTAATGAAAATTTGACAGTAGTAACAATTATTTTTATGCATAATTTGATCAGTATTTAGTAATTAATTATTTCTTGACTTTACAGGTAGTTTCACGACGCTGGGAAAGAAAAAGAATATAAGTCTCACTTCTAAGTCTTCAGGATGAATTCGATTTCTATATTCTAGAGAAATCCTCCAAGGAAAACCACTCCAACGCTGCTCCAATCCGTAAATAAATAAATGCAGTCCCATTGTATTTATATATAAAATCTGTCCCGTGTAAATAATGACTCCATGCAGTGACATTACCAACATTTTGAAATCGCGTGGGTTTCGAGTACCCCGGAGCCAGGGTCACGACAACGCGGGTGTAGGTGTTGCGAAAAACGCCTCCGTACTCTCATACAGGGGCAAAAAGTTTAGTTCACCGAGTCGGTGGACGGGATCGGCCAGATCCCGGCATCTAATTGCCCACGTGGCGCCAGCACGTGTTAATTACAAGGTGGCACTGTGGTCTGTTATGCTAATGCAGTCGTGACCCGTCTAGGCATTTGTTGCGGGTCCGAGTCAATCTGGAGATATACATCTTCGTATTCATTTCTACCATCGTGCATACATTGGCCTTCAAAGCGGCCAAAGCTGTACAGGTGCATCAAGTCGCATTCGTTCAAGCTAATTGCGTCAACAGAAAACCTCGGCACAGTTAGTAGTTGGCAACGCCAAGAGATAACATTAAAAACAATGTAGTTATAATATTTCTACTAATAAAACGAACAGTATAAATCATTCAACGTAATTTTATGGTTACCGATAATTTTGATCTGCCTATCCACGATGGGTTGATGTTTCAGATGCGTTTTGGCATTCAGTGCGGCTTTTATGCCATTCAAGATAAATACATCTTCATGAAAATTAAGAAAATTTTCCTATCGTAATATCACACCAACTCAAACCTATTTGTTACAATATATCTCCGCACACACTAACTGTTCACTATGATTGCCTTTGCCTACTATTATATTAGTAGTTTAAAGTTATTCTTTTTGTGCAATTTACAGTATGGGGGAGAGAGAGAGAGAGAGAGAGAGAGAGAGAGAGAGTGAGAGAGAGTGAGTGAGAGAGAGAGAGTGAAAGAGATAGTGGGAGAAAATAGATAGAAAAATAGGGAGATAGACAGTGAAAGAGCGAAGGAGAGAGAAAAAAGAAGGGAGAGAATGGATAGAAAAAGGGCAAGAGAGATGATGGATAAATTAAAAGTCCGAATGAGAGAGATTGAAAGTAAGAAAGATCGAAAGAGAGTCAGAAAAAGAGAGCGTCAGAGAGAGAGAGAGAGAGAGAGAGAGAGAGAGAGAGAGAGTGAGAGAGAGAGACAGAGAAAGAGAGAGAGACAGAAAGAGAGAAAGGGTATACAAATTTATTTTGTATGGTTAGAAATTAAGAATTGGTCAAAAGTGAAGTTATTGGGAGAAAAGTGATGTGAATAATACTAAATAGTCAAAACTAAATATTTACAATTTATTTTCACAAAGAAAATTAAAAGAGATTTCCTCAATTACAATTTTACAACAAAATATTTATTTATTTATTTATTATAACTCCAACAGAAAGAGACTACAAGAGAAATAGTCAAAAAAGGCACATAATAACAAAAAGAACAAATGAACAAAGCAATAATAACAAAAACACAAGGCTTAATGATTCAAGTCAAGTAAACATTTTAATTTAACTTTAACTGAATTCAAGGAATCGCGAAATACATCTATTTCATTAGAATAATAATTCAGCAATCACATTATCATGACCAAACCATTTAATTATTCTTTTATCTAAGATTTTTGGTTACAATGAAAAATTAGTGTCATGAGCGGGATTCGGACCCATGACCTTCCGTTCAATACGCCGCTGCTCTAATCACTTAAGCAATCGTGACTTCGATCCACTCGGACACCAACTCCCCATATTGACCTACAACCTTTCGAATTTTCCCTCTTTTTGCCATTTTTCAATCGAGCCGAAGGTCGTGGGTTCGAATCCCGCTCGTGACACTAATTTTCATTTCAACCATAAACCTTAGATAGAAGAATAATTAATGGAAATAATTAATATGGTCAATTATGACCAGTAAACAAATATGGATTTAAAAAATTACAATAAAATAAAATGAACGTGAAAATTTGGTACTTGATGATGGATGATGAATCGCTTTCCATAAGCCAAAATAAACAGTGTTGAGATCGAGTCTGCAGCGGAGGTTCGACTCGAAAAGAAGTTGCCTGTACAGCCAGATGACGATGCAGTTGAGGTAGGTAATGTGACGACACGGTGACGATGTACGAATCGATGGTGAAGATCAAAAAATCGATATTAGGCTCGATAATCGATTCGGTAGGAACTGTGTCCTGTGCTGACCCATGCAAGCGCTGCTCCTGCTCCCGTACAATGGCCGCTGCTACCAGCGTTATCGCCAAAATAACAACACGGTTTTCAGCGACAGGCCTCCGCAGGCGAACCTTGGTCAGCCGAAAACAACAGATAAAAACGATGCTTCTTGGGCGTCAACAAACTCCTTTCAGCTAAACTTGTTATTGGGTAGCATAAAAATGTATAGTTAATCAATTATGACTATGAAGGGAAATGGATCTGAAAATCTACATATGACCGTTTTGTTGGTTAATAAAATTTTATCATCATCCACAAACTATTATTCGCCAAAATAAATGTCACTACCCGGAATAGAATGTGATACACATAGTTTTTGATTAAGTGACATTTTGGATTTCGAAAAGGGGCCGTGAAATTGCGTGGGCAGTTCATACAGCTTTTTACATGCTCTGTATAAGGGCTGATGGTAGTTAGCTTGAAATCATGAAGGACGCTGGATGCACGACGGACCTTTCAGATTGACTGATCCGTCCGTAATAAACGGCCTTTTCGCCTAGTATGGTTGTCCATTTACGATAGGTCGTACGCTAATATGTTGCTCCGAGGCTCTTGGATCTTCCATACTTTGTAATTCGGTTTCATTTATCTTCTTCCTGAAATGTTCAACGTTTATTATCCTATACACATGGTGCTAACCTGAACCTGAACGCGTTCCAGGACATTTTCTCCTTATCTGAAATATTTTTAAATTCCAAAACATTTTTAATTTTAGTAGGTTATAGCTCAAAGAAAAATTTCGACCACATTTACATTTCAAAAAATTAATTGAAGTTTAGAATCAGTATCTAACATGTTGTACATACACCCCTACAGATTTTATATCAGTGGAAAGTGTTTGGCCCTGACATTTTTAAGATAGAAAATTTATTTAAAATTATAAAAACTAAAATAACTGATATTTTATACTTTCTTATAAATGATTATTTGAAGATCGTGAGTTGCGGTCTGGTGTGACGTAGATTTTAGAAAAACATTTTCTCTATCATGCCAACGTTTCGATCTTTATTAAGATCATCTTCAGGGCTCAAAGTGTTTGTTTTCCGTGTAGATGTTTCATTCTTGTTCATTGGCTACTCTCAACACGACACAGAAGAATGACACATCTACATGGAAAACAAACACTTTGAGCCCTGAAGATGATCTTAATAAAGTTCGAAACGTTGGCATGATAGAGAAAATGTTTTTCTAAAATCTACGTCACACCAGACCGCAACTGACGATCTCCAAATAATCACTGGCTAACGGTCACTAAACACCACACGTTTCTTATTAATTTCAAACTTTAAAACGGCAAAACCTCTATTTTTTCATGGACTTTATTACCATTATTGCAATATTGGTAGGAATCCTTTATTTTTTACATAAATCAACGGATATCCCCAAAACTTGTACATATCTTGAAAACTTTGTAACTTTATTTCGTTTCTACTGTTTACAGATGAAGTCTGGAGTCATATAAGAATGCCTGATAAATTTTATTTTTTACTTCTACCTCCAGCTCTGGATTCAGCTACTAATGTGGAGGACCTTTTCTACCTAAACAAATATCAATGATGTACTTTTGTGGATACCGATAATTTTGGTCTACCACCCTTGCTGTCTATCTCTCAAGATTATCAATCTTCCTGAATGATGCATTTTCGCAAGAGCTCTTATTATAGAACTGCGTAGCCGTACTGCGAAGATTCTTCTGAAAACTTAGGAATTAGAAGAGCCCAATAGATCTATTCAGGTAGAGATGCAGAAGGCCTTGTGGCGGCCACTCCGATTTTCCTTGGTAGTTAAAGTACAAGTGTGCTACTCCTTTTAGACGGTAGCCCCATTTTTAGGAATAGAGGTAAAAATGACTTCTAGGTCATTGGTGGCCGAAAACACCCTTTCTTCTACTGCGACGTAAAAGATTTAATGTGGAACTAACCCTTCATTATTTCTAAACCCGGAAAAATGCTCTGCCCTTAAGCAGCATATTCTAAACCCCTTTCACACTTCCGGGGTTCCTCTTTAGTTATTTCTTTAAGCGTCAATATCGCCTTTCGGAAGAAGCTATACCCGTTATAGGGTTGGGAGTTACAGAGGACCCGTTCTGATGTTTCTCTCCCTTTATGGCCGAGTCGAAGGTCATATCAATTCAATTATTATTTTTTTATATAATTTTTATGTCATTTTATTTATATTTTTTAAAAAAGTTTACTGACATAATCTACTGGCTTATTGTTAATCTTTGACTTTATTTCCTGAAGCACATCTTGCCGTTGCGGATTATACTTCGGGCACGCCATTATGACGTTTTCCAAAGTTTCCTTCTCGCCAGATTTACACCACTCGCCCTCCTGCGTATTAATTTTCTTTAGATATGCTAGATATGGCGGCTGGTAAAACCAAAAATAAAGCATAACAGTCCTTGAAGGCTTGTTGAATGTTTTGGTTTTCTTTTGTGTTAAATTGTAAGAAGCCAGAAGTTAAGAAAAAAGGAAAATTAATCAACTCAATTCAAAATGCTATCTATGCACTCAAAAAGTACTAATAAATGACACGCTTCAATTCGTGCCGATGTATCTAACTTTTACCCTAACCTCTAACAGCCTACAACTGTATAGGATATGGGATGAGAGTATATGGACTATTATGAATGAAAGTATATAGACAAGTCAGAAAGTAATAAAAGAAATGTATTGGTCTGATTAAATTAATGTGTAATTAAGAATAAAAATACGAGAAGAAACAAAAACCAGCTGTTAAATTCATGGCTGCCATGTTGGTTACCTACGCCCTAACGGATAGCAATGTAACTACATTTTCGACCTAACATGTAACAAAGGCCCTGGCCCGTTAGATCGAGCAATGTTACCTAGCCGATTCTTAAAAGTCTACGTTATCATTTTTCTTTATCTAACAGAACCTAACGTAGTTAACAGGGTTTACACAAACTATCCTCCAAAGTTTGCTCCATTCCACGATTCGCTGGATGTGTGTTCAAGTTCATCCGAAGTAATTGCAGATCGGAGGAACGCACGACTGTGTCATCAGCAGAAAAATCTCTTTTCTCGCTCTAACACGACCTAACAGAGTTAACAGTGTTAATACAAAGTTCGTGAATACCTCTAATGTTTAATTTTTCGTTGTTAACTAAAAATTATGAAAATTAGTGATAAATGCTAAAATAAAAACGTTGAGTATTCATGTAATTCAAAAGTTTAAAATTTATTTTATCAAAAAAAAGGAATGTGTCATCGTAATTTATAAATGTACACGCGCTATTTCCTTAACATTAATGTTTTAGAAAAAAACATTTTTTATAAAGATTAT